GTAGTGGAGTGGTAGTGGCAGTGGCAGTAGCAGCAGCAGTCGTGGTCGTAGTCGTACTCGTAGTCGCAGTGGTAGTGGTAGTGGTGATAGCAGTGGTAGCAGTAGTAGCAGCAGTAGCAGCAGCAGCAGTAGTATGTTAATGAGTTTCATTAGTTGTAATGGTGGTGGCTAGGAAAGTGAAAGGGACAGTTCTGGACAACTTCCAACATCGCTTAGGTGGGCCTTTGACAAATCAAGGAAACCCTTGCTTTCGGGATGGTCGGAGTTGGCTGGCAGCAGAGCCCTCCTTATGCTTGAGTCTTCGGCTGGGATAAGGGTTGGAAAACAATGCGCTTCCGACCCTATTGGATTCTGCGGGCGAGCCCGTCCTGGGTTGTTCCCAGGATTTCTCAAGCAGGGTTAACTCAAAGCCCAACCGAAGAGGCATCTCTGAGGCCGCCGAGCTCTAATCGGCGAGTGTTGGCTTAGTGGCTCAGTGTCTAACATGACCCCTCTGCGAACAGAATGCAACAACGATCCTTGCTGAGCACACCCTTAGGGTGGGCAGCATCGTTGCAACACCGGTGTCGCAGGCCAGCGCCCGAGCTTAGGGTCCCTCAGGTCCTCGGAAATCTGGTCTTAGCTTGTGGAAGCCAAAGTTGAGATCTGGTCTTCGATTGTGGCTCTTGCAGTCAGGCAGGGGCGAGCGATCCTATGCTGTTCGCCTCGCAAAGCAATGCGTCGCTGTCCGAGAGGACTCCTTGCTTTGTACAGTCAGACCTAGAATTACCACTGTCTTTTGTGATGCCGGCTGTACATAAACTGGAAGTCGTCACATTCAGCGTTCCTTGGTGTTGCCGCAGCTTGTTGTTGCAGCGAAGATGCTTGCTGGATCTGGCAACAAATTCTTCAGACAAGATGTTTCCTGGCGAAAAGGGCTTGTTGTTCTGTCTTCCGATCGATACTCCCAGCAGTCAACATGATGATGACATGGAAGGTCTTTGGCAATCCGCACTTCGGACCTCGCTTACTTGCAGACAGAGGGTTTTCGTCATGGAGGAAAGGGTCATGACCTGCATGACGTAGCTACAGGTAGTAACAGTATCACTGCAGTGGACGACCCCGTCTGCAAGGCGCCTAGCGCGGCTGTGGCCTGATACACTGGTTTCTGCGGAGTGACCTGGAGTGGGACAAAACTCACGCAGAGGGAACACGCCATACTTTAGAGGTTGAGCGCGTCCAAGAGCAGACGGAAATCAATGCCGGGACACCCGTTGGCGTGGAGTCGCCTAGCCGTTGGCCAACTCGAACTCACTCCTGCTGGGTGAGAGGTCGAGGCTGCAGGCCATACTCCAGCTCTTGCCGGTGTTTCGGGAACCCCTCCCCAAAGCCCCAAGACCTTGGGCCTCCGCGTCACCCCAGAACGCTCGGAGCTGCTGCTTGTGACCAGCACCTGGACGAAGGCAGGTGTCCCTTCGTGAGTGTTCATGAGCCTCCTCGGCCGCAGGCGGCCGCAGGCACGCAGAATGCAGACATGACCCCCATGACCATCATCAGATGACGGTGCTGAACGGCCACGCTGCACTGCGGTCTGTCCAAACTCCAAACCCTTTTCCGGTGACAACGTTCTCGCATCCTGAAGCTCAGCGTTGCAGCAACCGCCAAACTCATATGACTCATGTATACTCATGTCATGTGTTTTCCCAGCCATACCGTTGCTCGCCCTCTAGTTTATCATAATAGTTCGTCAGCGGCAGCAAGGTGCAACCAATTTGCTGTTTGTTTTGGCTTTCAAAAGCAGCGGAAGATGTCGATGCAGAGGAGCAAGCATAGCAGGACAGCTTGCCTTGCAGGAGCAACAGCCAGGGCCTTGTGGTCGCAATCCCATCAGAAGGACCGGCTAGCTACCAGCTGTTGCCAGCTTGCAGGAGCAGGTTACCTTGTGTATCCTTGTATTGTGCAGGCGCCAGGGGCATTGATGCAACGCCGTCGAAGCCGCTGCGTGCAGGACCACTTCTCGAGTAGTCTCTTTACATCGTATGGAACTTGCCTCTGAGCTCTACTCCGAGAGACTGGCAGAGAGTCTGGTAGGTGGCCTCCGAAAGTCCCGGTCGGAGTTGAGCCAAATATCTGACGGCTGGGGCCCCTGGCCTTCGCAGCTCAAAGACCTTTGGAGCCTCTGACTCGTCCGAGGCTTCCTTTCGCTGGATTCCGTCCTTCCACGGGCTCAGGAGGACGTTTTTGAAGCCGCATTATGACAAAGGGGTCCCTTCACTCTACACCTGGGCTGATGGTAAAGCGACGGTGGCACGTCGACAGAGAGATCAGAGAGGCTATAGACCAGACCCTGATTAGCTTCTTCTAGCTTTCTGCTCAGATCTCCTCATGGCCTTTCAATTGGCTTCCAGTTACGGGCTGCAACCATAAAAAGAACAGCCCCTTTCTGATTGTGGCAGGATGAAGCCGGCAGCCAGCGGTACAAGCTGCAGATATGAACATCGTAGATGCTGACGTCGGATGTGCAGGGACCAGGATGCCCCCTCCACAGATCTAATCCAAATTCGTGTCCAACTCGATCGCCTATCGCACGCGGTTTACCCAGCCACCCTCACTTGGACAAGGCACCGTTCGACTGCCGAAACCCAAAGGGTTGCGGCAGACGTGCCCAAATTCTCTGTCTCCGCGTCCGCGGACTTTGCGCAGATTTGTCGAACCCGGTGCATGTGTTGACCACCCACGGACTCCGGCAAAGGACGATGTGTGGTGCGCACTGCGGCGCAGCCATCATCTCGACTACAGCACTTGAATTGGTGTGTGGCATCGTGTCAACAAAAGGCTTTGGACAAGAAAAGCATTGCCGACTTGGGGCCCTCCAAGAGTCCAAGGTAAAAGCTCTGCCCTTCCAGCTCTCAGCTCCTATGAGCGTCAGAGCTCAAGTGTCTTCTTGAGAAGCATATTGTACCTAGGACCTTCAGGGGGCTTTGCCCAATGTTAGTGATCATGGTCCCCTCTGCCCCTACTGGGACAGATAGAGGAACATGGTGGGAAGCCTTCCTTGTGCGATGCCAGCACCAGGGCGGTGGCCCAAAGTTTGTATTTCTGCATGCTGATGTGCAAGGACTAGGCCTGAAAATTAACACAGGTCGCAGGAGCCCAGCAGCTAAGGCAGGGTTTTGAATAGCATTTTGAAGGTAGACCACGCGTCGCGTGCTGAAAGTTGTTTTGAATGGTCCAGAATTTCACATCAGCGTGGGAAACACCTTCCTCAAGGAAGCGAGTGGCGCAGACCAGCGGTGTCGGCGCCGCAGCATGCCAAAGGCAAATGGCAAAGCTCCAAAAGTGGCGAGCCACTGCATGCACATCTACAGTACGTAATATGGCGGTCCATCAATCTTCCTTGCACTGTCAACGCTCGGTCTAGTCTAGATTAGACGCTGGATACGGCTTCACTTCAAGGAGGTACCAGCGATTGGCCGAGTAATATGGCTTACACGATCAGGCTACATGTGACCGACACAGAATAATGCTCGGGGCTACGGCACTTTCCAACAACAGATCTAAGCTTTTCTGTCGAACAACGGAGGAGTTTCAGTGTAGGCTCCTCTCAGGCTTACATTGGTTTAAGGCTCCACAAGCTAAGGGGGCCTCAACCGTAATTCACCAACCCTAGTGGCCCTCGGTTCTCAAAGTAAACTCTGTGGTAAATGCGGCCAGGTGGATTTTCAGGGGCTGTCCCAGCCGGCCCGGGAAGCATAGCATGCAGGACTTAAGGACACCAGCTGGGATGACATGTGCCGGCCTGGAGATTTGCCTTGCAAAGTCCTAGGAACCAGGGCACAGGGCCCAAGCCTTCACGCGCTTGCAGCTGCGGCACTCAAAGCCCACGGTGCCTCTCGGCCAAGCCGTGCAGCGCGCCGAAGGCGAGGAGAGTTCTGAGTGTTCCTGAGCCTTCAGCCCCAAGCCTATAGATAGGCATACAATGATTATAATGCACACATTACGTCTCTTCATGTATGATTGGCCTGCCGACCGACCAACCTACCTATCGACCCATACACATATTGACCTGTCGACCTATCCATCCACATTTCAATTCATCTGTCCGGCTATCCCTCCATGTACGTATGTATATGTATGTAACAATGTAACACATGCATGTATGTATGTATGTATGTATGTATGTATGTATGTATGTATGTACGCACGTATACTTGTATTATATATGTATATATGTACCTATACCTATCTATCTGTCTTGCTTTCTATCTGTCTATCCATCTATCTGTCTCTCTGTCTATCTGTCTGTGTATCTGTCTATCTCTCTATCTATCTATCTATCTATCTAGCTATCTATCTATCTGTCTATCTGCCTAGCTATCCAGCTATCTATCCATCTATCCATCCATTCAACGGATTCCCTGAACCCTATACCCTAAACAAAACCTGCACATGTGAATGATAATTCCCGCATATTTGCTTAATAATTCACGCTTCGATAAATCGCCCGCTTGTCTCTGATAAAACTGGCCTTTATTCCCAAACCATGGCGCAATGAAAACTCCTGAATCTCATGAAAAATACAGCTCCTTGTATGTGTAATTATTTACATTTAATATATCTGTGCATGTGTGTGTGTGTACGTGTGCTATATACCTAAGAAAGCAAGCAGATAGGTTATGCCAGCGGAGATCCTAAACAGTGAAAGCCCATACCAGACTCCTGGCGCATTGAGTACCACGCACGAAATGCTTCCCCGCAAGTACTGCCGGGATTCGCGATTCGGGAGCACGACGGGGCGGCTCCAGGCTTTATTCCTCCAAGTACTGGCGCGTTTCGGAACACGAGAAGAATGCTTCTCCCCAGTAGAAGTACTGCTGCGAGTCAAGGTTGTCGAGAGCCAAAGAGTCCATGTCGTATTGTTCACTGAATCACGCCGCGCCTCCAGCAAACCTGTACCGCGCGGAACCTCTGCAAACAATGGGACGTCTGCGAAGACTAGCTATGCATCGCACCACACCACAGCGGGAGAGGCGCGTCGCCAGCATCCTTTGTACGGTTAGGACGCGGCGAGCCAAATTTGCCGCGCGCGCGCACGAGCGCGCTGCACCCACGACTGAATCAATTCTCTTCACCATGAATGCAAGAACCAAACAGTGTTACCACACTGCTTATGGGGAATAAACGAATCAACACATTGTAATTCAACGATGCGGACGAAGGCATACATGCGAGGAGAGACATCGATGGTTGGATAGACAGACAAATGCTTACGCAACAAAGTATATGCACACGATAGATAGATGGATAGATAGATAGATACACGGGTCTAAAAAATCTTCTCCATGTGCCTGAAAAGCCCTCGCCTTGCGCGTGATGATCCCGACCTGTTCTCGATTATCCGACGCAAGTGCTTGATAACGCCTTTCCATGTGTTGAACCATGGCACCTCGGCCTATAGATGCACATGTACATACGTACATGTAACTACATGTCTCTGTGTGTGTCATGATATGCATATGTATGTGTGTGTATATATATATAGTACACAGGCAATGATTCATTAATTCTTTGACAGCACAGCTTGATTGAGAGTGTGCATTCCTGTCAGTCCTGTACTCGTGCAGGGCTTCAATGGCGATACCTCAAAACAGAGCTGGTTTGACCATCGCACCCGGGCAGCAAGAGCACTTGCTTGTTGTCTCCAGTCGGCAGCAGGGGCTGGGTCAAGGAGCCGGTCGAGAAATGGAGAGTAAAGCCTGCATGCGGCAGGAAGCACCTGAACCTTCAAGTGCTGCGTTACGCGAAGTGTTCGCTTCAGGGAGCGGCATAGACATGTAAACCAAGACTTCCCAAGCTGCTTGGCCTGGGCCAGCATACCGTCGTTCGTTCGGTTGTAGCAATATAGAGCAATCGTTGGCCCTCGTATGACTCGAGAATTCGGTTTCTGAGCAAATGAAATCCCGGCGCCCACAGCCCAGAACCGTCAGAAATCAAGACCCTGGCCTCCGTCCACTCCGGGGACTGTCTCAGCTGGTCAAAACTAGAGTCACCTCGAATCGCCTGGTCACCGCCGCACTCCACGTGTTTCAGAGTGTTCTTTGATAAGGCCAAGTAAGACATCGTGCTTCTCTACTCGTCAGATCGCACAGCTTTCGTGAAATCAGGCACCGCCGCCGCACTTGCAGGTGAGTTTGACTCTCAGAAGATGAGCGGCTCTGATCGGAGTCATCGCGCCGGCGCATCACCTCGCGAGTCAATGCATGAGATTCTCTTAGGCTAGAGAGAAACAACAACTTTGCCCAAGGCCGGGATGCGCGGCGCAGAGCTCTTAGCGAGGTTGCCTACCTGCAGTGATGAAGATCCGCAAAGGTCATCGAAACTCTGCCAAGCTACCGTCACCCTAGCCACCAGGTTGCCCGCAAGACGATGCCGATACCCGGTCGGAAGCTCAGAAATCAGAATGTTCCATTCTTGCTTGTTTCCAGCTCGGTGTTTTCGCTGAGCATGTGTCGAGTGCTGAGGCTACACGGGACACCTTCAAGCACACAAAGTGGAGAATGTCTTTGGGGCGACCTTCGGCGAGGCTCTGTGACTAGCGAAAGCAACTTCGAGCTTCGTCGCGATCTCTCGCAAAAATTCAATAAAGCCCTGGAGAGTGCATGGCTAGGCGATGGTGGTCGCACAGGCTGCCGCTTGGAAAGCGATAGCAGGCCCATCATTTTGAAATCTGCCCGTTGCATCTTGACCTGAGCTGAGGCCCGTAGCCGTCGTGGCGCTGATGAGGACCGAAAGGTACAAGTGCTTTGCACGTGGCTCAGAGCCTTGCTTTAAGAGTGCCGTGCAAGGGCTGGTGAAGCTGCATGACCAGCGAGTTGCATGGACTCGGTACACTGAGTATTGTCCGGTTGGCGCCTGCAAACAGGACTACACTGCCCATTCAGCATCTCGAATGCGCCGGGCTGGCTCTGTTTGAGATGCGCCAGCCTTCTTAAGAACTGCTCTTGCGTATCTCTGCAATGGTGTTGCAGCAGCACGCGTCGAGCTGTACAGTTCCGCATGCTGGGTTCGGATTTGGTCCTACTGTGGGGTGCCTCGAAATCAAATCCTGTGGCAGATACCTTCGACGGCGGCTCTCTCAACACCACCAAGGGCCACAAGCTTGGGAAGGACGAGCCGTACGCAAAGGCTGCCAAGGGGACAGGTAGCACGAATGATGGCGAATGGACAGAGAGGGGCATGCTAAAACGCGACGACCTTGCTCCGATGTTGCCTTCATGGTTCGGCTTCTAGGTACATGAGACAATGAAAGCCTGGTGAAGCTTGTGAGGCTTCTAGATGCAAAGATGGTTGCTGTACAGCAAATGATGCTCTTGATCCGAAGCATCCCACAGACACAGTGCTGACACAAGTTGACATTACCCGAGTGCATCACGGGGTTCATCCGACACGATGCATGCTGCCCGCGGGATGGATTCAATGATGGATCCCACGGAAGCACGACAAGAGCCGGCCTCCAGCGAGGGGGCGCTCTCCGAAGGCTTGGGCTGTTGCTTCTCGATTGGCAGCCTGGTCAAGATTTAGCCACTCTGAGAACTTGCTCCATGACTGTACTGAGAACGCCGCAACAGTAGACTCAGTAGGCTTTCGGAGGCATTATGATTCACAGTGTGTGTTAGACATCGTCTGAACTTGGGGAGGATGCGCGTGAGTCAGAGTCCAGAGCATCGGTATCTCACACTCTTCTTTAAGGCATGATGTCCTGGCACGTTCTTTGTGTGCTCAGGCTTCGGAGCTGGAATGCAGCCTTGTTGCTTAAAAACCGAGCGCCTGGTCACCTTCGGAAGCTGCCGTGTGGGTCGGCGAATAGGCAGGAAGCATGGGGAAAAGACATCTTGTCACTCGTCAGCTCCACTCGTCAGGCGGGCTGACCGGCTTTGCTGTCGGTCGCTGTCCCCGGAGCGCTCGGGAGGCAATCGAGACCGCGGCGATCCGCAGCATTCCTTGCACCCTTTGCGGCGAGGCAGCCAGCATGGTCGAAAGGCAAGGCCTCGTCGTCACCCCGGAGTTCCTTCTGGCAGAAGGCAGTGTTTTGGAGGGCTGCAGATACGGTAGCAATCTGGTCCTCCGCAATTGCAACATCGCAGGTCCACTGCGCGAGGAAGATCCTTTACAATATTTACAATCGTGGTGGCTTCGAAGCAACGTGAGATCGGTCAGGCTACATTATATGTATTTCTGTGAATGGCGCAGCACATGAACACATTCTTCGAGATCACATCCCAGCCCCACAGACAGGTCCGTTTCGACCAACCTGGCAGCGGTTTGCACTGCAGTCTTCTTGATATTCATCCTTGCGGTGATGAGGCGAAACTTGCTTGTGACATCTTGTGACAGTCTCCCTCCGTTTGGTCTCAGGATGGGTGCAGATGTCCTCCGTAGGATAGCATTCAGGATCATGCAAACTCGCACAGTTTCGCTTCCTTGCAGCGGGCCCGGCAGGTTTTCCAATCGGCTGGGGCAGAGGCACCCGAGTTCGTCTGGTCCGTCTCTCCGATGCCTTGACGGCCCATGGCATGTGCGGCTGGCTTCCGCGAGGCTGCGTCCCAGCGAGCCCCTGCTGGACGAGGCTTCGCCGACGAAATTTTTCCATGAAAGAGATGGCTGCCACACCGATAACTGCCCGCCATGCAGAATGTAAGAGCAGCGAACACCGAACAAGTGGTGCAAACAGCAGGATGTTGCGAGTCGAGCTTGACCTGCTCTTCTATCGAGTTGCTGATGTCGTGTGTCAAGCTTGCAACCCAGCCGGGTGGATGTGGACCTGGCAGGTATCGCAGATATGAGTTTCGGCTGCTTCGAAGAGTGCAAAAAGCTGCTCTGCGCGAAGCACGGCCCTGACAGGGCCTCCAATCATCACGAACATTCCATGTTGAGCCTGCAAGCGCACCGGATGCTGCCTCGAACGGCGCACTTCCGTTTCCTTGCAGACTGCCTCGGTGCACCACAATCCGCGGGGGCATGACATTCGGGCAGGGGTCTGTGGCCAAGCTTGCTAGAGATCCGCGTTGAATGAGAGAGCATGATGCATGTCGATGTCCTTGCAAGATGTGTAGATGCATTGAGCACCTTCTTCGCTCAAGGATGAGGTGTTTAGAGACATGTCCTACAACGGCTTCTTTCCATGAAGCCGTGCTGGCGCCAAGGCAGCGGTTCCCGGCTACGGCGGCTTCATCCCCTCAAAGGTCGATTGTCAGAGTGCTCCTTTTCCAACTGTCTGGCGGAAGTTAAGCTACTAAGACCAGTGACCAGTTGCAACAGCAAGGCAGCTGGCTGGTAAAAGGGCAACTCGAGCATGAACGTGTCGAGTGAAGCCGCGCCTGCAATTCCGAAGAAGCCCTGAGTGGCTGCAGCGAGCCATCGGTTCAGGTAGCGGGAAACTGCTTCGGCAAGCGCATGGCATTGGACAACCTGCACGCCACCGAGATGCGACGGGCAAACGATGAGGCTAGCGCGGTTGAAGTGATCTGTGAGGCTTTAAGCACACATGTTAGGAGCACCGCAAATTGCAGGGCGCCGAATGGCGGACCAATTGGATCACTGCCTGCGAGACAAATCGCAAAAGGCCTGAAGCTCAAGGCGTCGTTTAGCAACTGTTTGTGCTGGTGCTGCTTCGAGGTTAAGTAACATGTGCAGGATCGCAGACAAGGATTCCATCTTGGCCCAAAGGGCAGCATCAGCTCCGTGCAATTGCATTTGCAAGGTAATTTTACATGGAGACTTATATCACGCCGCTAACAGACGAGGTTGGCCCACGGAGCTTTCGCAGCCCTGTCCTCGGGAAACATCTTTGGAAAAGTGTACTGGCGATACTCGCCATCTTGGTGCTTTGCCGATGCGCCGGCTTTCGGCTGTTCAGGTGAACGATCACTTCCAGTTCACTCGCGACGATCCAAAGCGAAACGTCGGGCACTCGTCACACAAGCCCGAGCCGCCCGAGCCAAGATTACACCAGCGAAGACCCCAAACAGCAATAAATCAATCAAGATGTTGCGTGAATTTCGAACAAGACAGCAAACTCGAAACGACAACACTTTGTACAGGACGGAGACAACAGTTTAGGATTTAAGGTTAAGGTTCAGGGTTAGGG